CCCACCTGACTGTTAGACGGGCCTTCATGCTTTTCTATAACATCCCGCAAAAGCTAAATGATTTCAGTTCCTTCTGGAATCGCAATTGCAGAATACTAATAACAGGACCGGTAACAAGAAGAAGCACTTTAGTCATGAAAATAAAACTTCCACGAGAAGTGAAAGTGGAGTAGAGAAGAATCCAATTTTTCAATTAGTGTAGAGCCGTTTATATGCATCGCAGATCCAGTCGCACTCAAGCTTGGCTAATCTCTTACGAATTCTGATAAAATTACTAGAAGGGACGTTTAACGAATAATGCGCTAAAGAGCTTTGGGCAAAAAAAATCAGGTGTGGCTGCTTCCCAGGTCATTTCGAAGGAGCTGTGCTGGTTGCCTACAGAATGTCAACTTGCTTGCACTTTCCTAGTGTTCATATAGTTCATTCCGCGTTTGCTCGCTATGTGTGCTGCAGCAATAGCGTCATCAGTGGAAGAATGACTTGACAACACGCTCAAGGAACATACTGCAAGTCAGTTCTCCAGAATGCAGAGATAGTCTGTAGAGTATATCTTTGAGAAGATGTGACAGAAAGAAATTGGTTGAGTAGCAAGGTCGCATCTGGATGATTGTGTGGTAACCTTTTCGGAAGAAAGGTTATTTAATCCTATAACTACCTGTAACATAGAAAGTACCGCTCTGATTTTAATGCAATTTGTACACAATGTTACTACTATTTCATGGACGTAAAGGCTTTGCAGTTTTTGAAAATCGGTTCAGTGATGGCGGTGTAAAAGGCAAAAATACTGAAAAAACGCTTAAACTTTGCGGAGGCTTCAGAGGATCCTGATAATTTTTAAAAGATAAAAAACTTGAGGGTGGGGGTTATGTGGGGATCGGGAGGGTATATCTGAATATTTTGATCATAATTACTTATTTATATAAAATCTTGAATGTATGTAAACACGCTTAGTATCTGATGAAATCAGGTAATATCACTATTACACCAGAACCTGCAATGCTTGTCCAACAGACTTCTGGATCTAGATATGTTTCTGGCAGAAAATAATTGTGACATTTTCTGCGTTACGGAATATTAGGCTAATGAAGAGCAGCTGTATTCTCTTCGGCTAGATTATTATAAAATGTCTACTGTTTATTGTAGAGGTAATTATAAAAGCGGCGGTGTTGCTATTTTTTCTAAAAATGGTACTCATTCCTGGAGTGTAGAGGTGAGTTGTATTGATAAGTATTTTGACTGTGGGTCAATTTTTTGTAAACAACATCACTGTGTTAGTCATTGACAGAAGTCCAGATTGTAATTTTGAGGTTTTTCTGGAAAAGCTCTATGAAACACTTGATCAGATTACTCATCCTTTTAAAGATTCGCAAATAGTCATCTGTGGAGACTTCAATGTTAATTTTATACCCAAGTAGACAATTAAGTAGTTTATCAGATCTTCTTAGCTCGTGGAACATAAGAACAACGGTAAATGAACCTAGGAGAGGAAAACCATGTTTGGACGATACCTGTGTGAATATTGAGGATGGTGAATTTTCTTGAAAAGTACTTAATGGTTATATCAGTGACCATGTAGTACAATGATACAAATTAAAAATGAAGGTAATGCAGTTCAACTATCAATAAAATATCACTATAGACAAATACATAATGAAAATGACATGAAACATTTTCTGAATTTATGAAGTAAAGAAAATTGGCTTAATATCTATATTTTAATGATGGCGATGTAGAGAGTAGGTTTCAGTCATTTCTCAACGTATTCAAGTATTACTTCGTGTTAGCTTTTCCTCTTAACTAGAAACTAATATCAACCAAAATCAAAAAAGAAAACCTTAGTTAACCAACGGCTTATTATAACTAATACAGAAAGACTTACAAAATCGCTTCGCACAACAGTCGCATGTTAGAGCAAGCAACAAATAAATCCAAAGCAACGTGGAATATACTGAAACCCAAATCCTCCACAAATAAAAAGGTTGCAGGCTCACTATCTAATAATCCTCAGCATGTATCAACATCTTTCAATAACCACTTTCCGGACAGCATTAAACGTTTGTCAATTACTCCAAGCAATGTTTTACCAGCATCAAAAATTAGTGAAAGTTTCTTTTTCCACCCTGCGTGTAAAAAGGACATCCTGGATATAATCAGGGTTTTGAAACCATCTGACTCTGTTGGTGAGGATGGTATTAGCACAAGCGTTGTGAAGAAATGTGCCCACCTGATTTTTGGAGTAGTTCCTTACTTGGTGAACTGTTCTTTGGGGGAAGGTAAGATTTCCAGTTGCTCGAAAATGGCAAAAATAATTCCTATCTCCAAAAAAGGAGACTCCAGTCTTGTAGACCTGTATAGTGAAATGCTTCAATAGAAGCCCATTCTTTAATCAAAATCTGTATAGTTTCTGCAAGGGTCTGGCAACTACTACAGCAATAACAAAAGTTCTTGAACAATCTCTATAGGAGTATTGATATGGTCAAAGAGAGCATTGTAAATCATGGGCTGTTGTCCATAAAACTTGAATGCCATGGAATACGGGGACTTCCGCCTAAGTAGTTTCCTGATCATTTGTCCAACAGATTACAGAATGTTGAAATTGGAAATCACAGATCTGAATTGCGTAAGAGTGAAGTGGGAGTTCCGCAGGGCTCTATCTTAGGACCATTGCTGTATATAATTTTTGTGAATTACTCCAGTAGAACTAATTATGTTATGTATGCGGACGATACCTAGTCATTAGTTTTAACATCTCTAGGGATGGGTGCTACTGAAGAGCTACAAGGCTCCTGCTTAACGCAATATTGACCTCCCTTTTAATAGAATCGATAAGGCCAACCGGCAGTGTCCATACTTTTTTTGAAATTACATTCAACTCTTTCCTTACCCTCAACAAATCAACTGAAGAAAAAACATTACATTACAAATAGTTCCCAAATCATGAAAACGATATTATTATATCGGTTCTTTATGTGCGGTTTTATGCATGGAAAAAAGCATTTTTATCATTTGAAAGCACACTGATCCGAAATGAGGCTTATGATACGTTGTATTATCGATTTTCTTCAATAAGATTTACTGCAAAAGACCTGAAAAGAGAAAGACACTTGAAAAATGTTTGAGTGCATATCAAAGGTTTGACAGTCAAGTACAGTTGAGAATACAAGATATTATATATTTCCATCGATTCTTTGACTCTCAACACTAAGTTTATCATTTTTCTTTCTTATTTTGGACCACTGTGGATTGTCTTAGACAAAAACAAAATCTTAACACTAGATTACCGTCAATGGAATCGCCCAAACAGTTCCAGAGGGTAGTACTCATCATTTCGTTCTTTCGGCAATTGTAGTATTGCCCTGGATACCAACGTATATTTAATACATAATGTCATTCAGGCGAAATAATTGTTTTCTTGATTCACTCCTCATTTATTCCATGCCTTCTACAGTAAAAACTTCTCGTTAGTGTTATAATAGCTACATTATAACTCCAAACCTTTCCTTGGAAAAACCTCGTTAGTTAGATTATTAAGGACAACTGATTTTTTCCTATTTAAGCCCATTCTTTGCTTCACGTTTATAAATATAGTTTACGCTTTTTTAGCCGCACCATTCTTCATCCTTGAATAAAAACCAGTGATAATTTGTGATAGTAAAAGCCGCACTGAAAATTATTACTCTGTTTATCATTCCACAGTTTGCTTTATTAAGTCCTTTGTTCTTAAGTAATTTGTGAAGGATTTTTGCATATAGTAAGGGCAAAATTAATTCGTAGACACTTGGAAAATATATATTTATATATTTATCAATAGTTATAAATGATACCACTAGAAGACACTCGCTTCAATTAAAAGCCGTGATTGAGTGCGATCGAGAAAATGTATCGTGGCGTCACAAGATTACACTTAAGGTCATGGTCATCTGTGAACAAAATTTCACGATCTGTCCAACGATGGAGACAAGAAGATACAGCTTCATCTTAGATCTTCAAGTTGACCACTAAATTACGCTGAATGTCATGGTCACCATTAGATTATTCTCTAAAAGCCCTACCACGTCTGTCTTGCCAAACAAAAAAAATTGGTAGTTACAGAGATGTTTTCCAAAATATACAATAATTGATGTCTCTTAAAAACACAACACAAAATCGATGGTATTACTCTGAACATTTTCCTTTTTATATGCGTTTTTGTAACCACTTAAAATTAGATGAAATGACGCCGAAAACAATTATAGGTTATAAAACAAAAGCGCGCGCAGCCTAGTCGCCGGATACTGTCAGACTGAAGAGTGATGCAACATGGTCGGCTGTTGGCGGTGACAACACACGTGTGCGTAGTTATCTAGATATAGATATGTTGATGGCCCCGTCGTGCCCCGCGTCACCATTATGCCCCCCCTTCCCCTATTGCTCTGTTTGTCAGCATATCAATCACTAAGCCCGCCGATTGTGAGTTGCGCTGAGTAAATCTGTTTTTAGGCGCAAATAAGCTCCTCCTGCTGAAATTCACCAGAAGCTTGTTGAAAAGGCTACTTCTCTCATATTTAAGTTCATAGAATAAATGAGTATCTCTTACAGTATTTGGGTTAGGAAACCGACGTAATATATCGATTTCAGTTTTTAAAAGCGCAAGACGTTATTTCTAAGAAATTCCTAATCAACGGAGAAATTTATCGTTTTCTCGTTTAATTGGAAGAAAACAATCATGAACGTTGGATTGGTAAAAGCAGAAAGCACAAATTTGTTGAAGATTGACAATTTGATGGTTTCTCTAACTCCATTACCAAACAGTTGTTTCTTTAAAAAATGACATTAATTTCCGCACATCACCGAATATAATTTCAGCTTCAAAAAATTATAAGCCTGTCATGTAGAATGGCAATCTCTTTTACATACCGAACGTATATTGTCCTTAGGTCTGCTACTTCCAAGAAACGATTTCCAAAAATTGCGCCGCAACTCCGTTCTTTCTGGAGACTGTTATTGTGTCTTCTTTTCAGTTGGACCATTGGACGTGAAAATCCTTAGTTCGAATCAACCATTGTCTGCTGGAAGAAGGTACGATCTTCTATGCCAGAGTTCTGGGTCGAGACCACCTGCCAGTATCACGTGGTGGAAGAATGGACAGAGACTGGAACGGACGAAAGAAACTGTAAGTACTATAAATACTGAAAAATAGCGCGAAAAAAAGCCACGGTTATACTTTGACGTGGCAGATCCCAAAATGAATGTATAAACCTACTTTGAACTCAGTTAGTATTTAGGTCTGCTACCTGAGCCATAAATAGGGGAAACACGATAAACAATTCCTGAAGATACCCAATCAAAATAGGCATTAGAGATGCCAAAAAGGGATTGAAGATCCTCGCACCATCTATGGCACAGTAGCAAAACCAAAAAGTCTAACAATTTTCTGAAGGTAGATTCCTGCGACTGTGCATAGATAACACTGGTACTTTTCAGATCTTTTTTGGGATGCGGAAATGGTTGGTCATCTCCAGGTAAAACATGATAATGTGTGCCTTCGGTGATAATGCAACTGCAAAGCAACTGATGTCAAGATGGGGTTAAAGTCGAGCTGCCATCGGGTTGCTTTTGGCGCACTGAGAAAAAATCAACTGAACAAAATTTTGATTGAACCAAATAAAATAAATAATTATCTCTCTGACAGCTCAAGTTTATCTATCTAATCTAATCTAATAAACCGTTCACTTAGTTTGAGAATACCAATTCACTTAAAACTGAAAGCTTAGCTGCTCCAAGTAAAAAGGTTTAATTACATTACAAGACTATTTACCTAGAATTATTGAATTATTGTATTTAGATTTAAGAGTATATTTTGAGAAAAAAATTAAGAGAACAAATTGCATGTAACTGAATGATAAATATTATAACTGTGTTCTGACAAATGTAAGATATCATAAAATTTGTAAGATTGATATTGATTTGAATCAAACTAAAAACTTCCGAATTTTGTAACATTAACAAAACTCCACCATTTTTTATTTTCATTGATTGTATTATACATATATGGGATAACATTGAAATATGGTATACATCTTGACCCAAATACGACTACCTATTCCTACTTCAAAAACTTATAGAAAGTAATTTTTTATATGGTGTTAAGTGTGTGATAAAGTAGGTGGACCGTCAAAGGCCACACTAACAAAAACAAAGTTATTACCCCTTTATTTACTGGATAAATAAAAAAAATAGACCAGCAACACTTTGTGTTTTAATTAGCTTCATATTGACATCAAATGAATTTTTATTGAGAAACAGCTTTTACCGACCAAGATGGCCTTCGTATTTAAGGCCAAATTGTTCCAGAAGGCGTTAGAAATCTGCAATTAAAAATTTATGAAAAGTACAGTGTATTTACTTGAAAACGAGCGACTTGCCGCCACGTGTGTGTCCTTGAGTTCATTCGATGTAAGTGTGAGCAGAAATAATTTGTCATCGCATGGCAAGGACTACGACTTTTTAATAATTGGCCTCACAAGGATCATCACCTTTCGTGTCTACCCACCTCACGATACAAGCGCAATGCAAAGGAAAGTCATGAATTATATATTCAAATAGCATGATTAGAGTTTTGCAAATAAACGCATATGCATGACATATGACTTAAACGCTGCAATATCCACCCCTCAATATAAAATAATACCAAGCTATATATAGATCCTCTGTGAGATGAGATCACGCGCTATTTCTGTGTATCGGATTGCATATGAATAATTTCACTATGTGATGATCAAGTCTAGTTAATAATGACAAACGTTTCCATCTCGTCCAATGCAAGATTACTCGGAAATGATTAAACCACTGCATAATGCACGTGAAACATTTGCAAATCACGTATTTGCAGAAACACATCTCTTTAATATAGCGCTTTAGTATGTTGTCCATTCATTTGAGGTACTATTGATATGGAAACAATCCATTTAGCTCAAACGACTCTTATTTTTCAATTGAGCATGGTTTGCTATTTACTACTTTCAATTTTATTTTTAGCTCCTGAAGATTACAGCCATAGCCTGTCTATAGCTTGAGTATTTGTAAGTCAGGAGGGTACACTTTGCTTAATTTGTCGATATCCCCAAAGACAAGTCTTCCATTTAACTATATATATATAATATACCTTAAACACAGATTTCATTAAAGAAAAGGTCTGTATTTATTTCTAATTAATTTTTTTTTTTGAAATTGCAATGCCAATGAGGTTGATTCAAACGCCATATTTTTGGCGCGCTTCGCAGTGACGTCATCGTTCCTGACATACCTATAGTGTGATCTTTTCTTTTTTGTTAATTTGCTGTCGGGTTTGGACATAGCGTTCGTTTGTAAAATTAGTAAGTATTCATAGGTAATGTTTATTACTACATTCAAAAGCTGGAAAGACTTCAGCTGATGTAAAATCTGTGGTGGAGGCAATTTACGAGGTCTGTAAAATAAGTAATGAGACTGGCAACACTGGAGACGTCGGGCTTGGAGGGGAAATAGGTGGACATGTTATCCGCCATCAGTACAAGTTTAAACTCGCTCAAGTCGTTTGATTGTCCGAAGCGATTTTTTTAATTAGTTCCTTCTATTGTGTTTTAAAAATGTGCAACGGTGTGCTATCATGTTTTGCTTCAGATTTGGGCACAGTGCAACTGAAACTCTTACTATACTTCAGCAAGCCTACGGAGATAGTGTTTTGTCAAGAGACAAGGTTTTTCGGTGGCTTGAGGCATTTTCAGAAGGGAGAGTATCCATTGAAAAAGAACGACGAAGCGGAAGGCTTTCACTTTGAAGAATCGATGAAAATATCGATAGAATCCAGGATCTTATGCGTTTAGATCATCAGACAGTCAGAATGGCCGGCGAAGAGTTAAATTTGACTTGCGCCACCGTTCATCAGATCAATAACATCACTATAATGCTTCTTGTGACACAACAATTTCAATAAACAAGTTTTTTTCCAATAAAAGCATGCCTGTAGCTCCTCAGCCTCCTTATTCGCCTGACTGGAGTCCCTGTTACATTTTTCTCTTCCCGAAGTTAAAAAATCAACTCAACGGAGCTCATCTTGGGACACTCGAAAACATTCAAATGGCTGTAACTGACCAGCTAAAGGCTATTCCAGTATCGGAGTGGAAGAATCGTCTCCAGTGCTGTGTGGCTTCAGAAGAAATTTAAGCTAACAATATATAATCGAAACTATATTTGAATAATAAATTCAAAATCAGTCTCATCACTTAATTCACAGACCTTGTATGTGAAGTCTCCATAAAAGTGTCTGCTTACGGAAGATTATCTGTGTTGATAGCATTCAAGTTATATGTCAAAAACTAAGTAGGTATGTGTTTTAAGGTAAGGAGAAAGTTGTAAGAACAACTGTATTCCTTATTCCTTCGGAATGATCAAACATCAATCTGACAAGCTGATAGTCAATGACAGTAAAATCAAAGGCTGGCATTATAAATCTGATTGACCAATTGACTGGTCACAAGCCGCAAATCGTAGCGACTCTCCAATAGCGTTGCGTTTCGACATTTTAAATTTACACCGTATCTTTTCCATATTTCAGTTACTATTGCTCGTAAATTTTATAGCACTTGAGTATAAAATACGGTTGAAGATATCATTATGTAGCAGTAAATAAAAGTAATTAACTGATACTTGAATCGCATGAATTCAGGAATATTCGCCATTCGTATGGAGGTACAGTAGAACCCCGATTATCCGAAATGTGCTTTCGGATAATCGAAATTTTGGATAAAATGGAAATAAATATCCTGAATCATAATGCCTTTATTGAAAAAAGTGAATGCGTCTGTTAAGTGAGTATATACTATAAAGTTACGTAAAATATAAACATGTGGATACCATCATACATATTTACGAGTATTTATTAACAAAGGAAGTAATATTTAACTGTACACGTTTTGCATTGTTGCTATTTTTGGCAGCAATATTTCTCCAACATTTGATAAGTAGCACATCAGCTGCTGTCGCATTTTCTTGTTGTTCGACGTAAGTCAACGTCTTTTGAAGAGCTTCTAATCCCTCAGAATGTAATATTTTGGCATAGATTTCTGTCTCATCGTCACTAGCATCACTTAAAACTATCTCATCAGCATTGTTACAAACAGTTTTTATTAGTTCTGGATCAATTAATCCACTCACCAACATCTGCTTGGGTAGGATTTTCACTCCCTGCTATTTTTACAAGCTCGTGTAAATTTTCGTTGTTATTCTCATAGTCTTAATTATTGCTTAATTATTTTCGACCAAGATTTTTTTAAAGTAGAATTTTTTACTTGGCTCCATGCTTCTGCTATCCAATATGCCACATTCTTGAGGTTAATCTCTTTTAAACAACCAACCATTATCAACTTGATTTAAAATTTGCTCTAATAACAAAAGTCTGTGATTGCGTTTTAAATTTTCTAAAACTCCTTGATCCATTGGCTGAGTCAGTGATTTTGATTTTTATATCACACTGGAACAGCATTGGGACGGACGTATTTAAGTGCTCTTGGTTTGGCTGATTTTCCGATTAACAACAGAGGGAGTTTGTGTGTAAAGGAGGCATTGCTACAAGCAAAAATAGTCACACGTTCTTCACTACGTTTGTAACCAGGAGCTCCAGATTCTTGTTTTGAAGCTAAACTTTTCGCCAGTAACATTTTATAGTTTAGGCCCGTTTCGTCGCAGTTCTGGATTTAAACCACACTGCTTCATTAATTCTTCAGAATGTTCTCCAAATTTTATTGCAGCGGACTTATCGGCGGATAACTTTTCTCCACAAACTTTTAATTCTAGTATACCGTGTCATTTTTTCAATCTATGCAGCCAACCATCACTGGCCTTAAAGTTATCAGGCGCCTCACTGGCAGTTCTTCACTTAAATTGACTGCCTTTTGCTTTAGAATTGGTCCGGAAATTGGTGTTCCACGTTCTCGATTCTGTATAAACCACAGATATAAAGCATCATCCAATTTATGAGTATGATGTTCCCCCGTTTTCGTAGTTTGCCGTGACGGCTGCGATGATGTAACAACACTAGACCACTTTTCAATTTCCTCGCGTTGTTTTTTTCATTCTGAAATGGTACTCATGCCCACACCCAAATCGCTTGGCCACGTTTTTCAGCAAATCAACTCTATCTAAACGTTTGATTTATTTCTATGCTACTCCATTTTAGCTATTATGAACCTGACTGAAACAATCATACACGCACACATAGATACTAGTGAATTCCGCATACGCGCTTGGGGAATCACCGGCAGCGAATCTAATGACGCAAACGCCGAAAGGGGAACTACCGGCAGCTATTAAGGATCATGCGCCGATTTCGCACAACAATTTCTTCCTACTTATTTCTTTCCGTATTTATCCTGCCAACAGCAACTTTTGGTATTGAAAAACATGAATTCATGTGAAACTCTACGTGTCCTTCCCATTTATGCTCCATACATTGCGCCACACTGGGAAATGTTGGATGGAGCGAAATTAATTAATAAAACTTCAAGTTTAGTTTTAATTCGATGTTTTTTACTGACCACGCCTACTGACAGGGAAGTATTGCAATCGCGAAAATTTTCGAAAATGAGATATTATGTTTTTTGTATACAATATGTACGAAAAACCATGTCACTCATTTTCGTCGGTATGACTGTCTATCTGTCGGTCCGTCTGTCTGCTAATCCTTGCATTCCCTATCGCTGTTTTTTGAAAGTCAGTCCAGTGGCGGCAAAGAAAAATTCCAAAATTCCAAAAACGAAAAAAAGGAAATCGCTCAACTCCGTTTTTTGCCTTATACAATAATTTTAGTAAATACTATTATCTAGAAAGTTGTTCAATTTCAATGTCTACGAGAGAGAGGCGCTAGATGTGCGTATCAACACATGTTAGAAAGAGCCGGCTGAAGATGGAAGCTCATCACCACATTGCCTAGCAACGGTGACGCAGAAGGTCGTGCAATCTGCCGCGGCGTCAATATGTTAAACCAAAAAATGCTGCTCCCACAGGCTGCTACAATAGATTAAGTTTCTATCAAACCTAAGAATTTCTATTTTGATGCGACTTAGGGTTTTGATTTACCAATAGTGATAAAATCAACACATTATTGTTAAAAAACTAATAAATCAAGGAGGCCATAAAGGCGCCCTACAATTATTGTAGAAATGTCAGAAACGGTAAGTCCAGAAATAAAAGTATTTGAAACTTTTATAGAAAATCGTATTCTCAGAAATTTTTGTATAAGGTATTTTTGTGGTATCTCATTCCATTATAGAGAAATATAACCTGATATTTTTGACATCTGACCTAAGTAAGACAAGGGTGTATGAGAGGTTTTGATATATTATTCATAATGTATTGTATGTATTACTAGGTCTCTACCAACTTTCACCTTGGTGGGATTTTTTGCAAGAGTAATTTTTATTTTGACTGGATTAATAAAAAAGAATGCGATAAAAAAAGTATTTCGCAGCCAGTAGGATTCGAACCTACGCTCCCAGAGGGAATCTGATTTCTAGTCAGACGCCTTAACCGCTCGGCCATAGCTGCTGTTACCTCTGTGTTCAGAAATACCGTATAACCGCGTAAGCAGTCGCGGCATGCAATATTTTCAAAGTAAGGTTTATTTTGACACAAAATAGATAAAAAGTCTTAACTATTTCAAATTCAAGTCATCGTTAGTTGTCAGAGCGGTCCGTGGAACCTTAGCTCTTGAGTCATAGTATCAGTTTGTAAGTCTATCAGATCTGGTAACCCAGAAACCAGGCAGTTTTAAGGAACTACCTATTTCAAATATGGCATACGTAAACGTTAACCTTGACATTCAGACCATAAGTAAATAGTAATAGAGAGTCGCCAAATTTGAGACACTTTTTTTGAACCAAAAATAAAATATTTTTTTTGTAGAAAAAACATATGTTTTTATTGAAGGTTAAAGAATATTAGCTACAATAGAAAATACAGTCAAGAGAAACTAAAAATCTAAAAACTAATGACAAAAAGATATTTTTTTGCGAAAGTGACAAATTCGACACTTTGAAATAAGGGTCCTTATTTGAGACACTATGGTATCCTAATTTGAGATAGGATCCTAATTTGAGACAGCACTTAAATTTATTCAAAAAAAAACACTTTCCTTCACAGAAAGAACACAAAAACGTGCCAGATGTAAGTTCTCCACAATCTTCATGGGCCCATCTACTACACCTTATGCATTTGGACCACTTCTCGCCTTGTCGATCCTCCGGAAACTTGCCCATACAAAATAGATATTCGGCATCATTGTCACTGCTTTCGTCTGATGAGAAATCAACAAACTCCATATCACAAGTTTCACTTTCTGAACAACTTGACCCTTCTGATTTTCTTCTATTGTTTTTCTTTTTTTTAGGCTCTGTGGGTTGGGCTTGTTTACCCTTTTTTGTGTTAACTTTTTTTTTATTTGTTGATCTTTTTCTTTTGCTTGTATCCTTTTTTCTTTTTCTTGCTTTCTCGATACACTTTCTTCAAGCTTTTTTTGTATGGTGTTGAAGAGATAACTGCTGCTTTTCCAGCTCAACTATTTTTACGATTTGTATTTTGAGTTTTCATTATCGGAAGGGGCCAAATATCCTTAGGGGATATAAGTGGCTCTGTTAAAGTGGGTGTTGGGCTGGGTGTTCTTTCATTTTCTCTTTGTACCATAACTATTGGAGTAGGTGCTCTCTCATTATGAATCACTGGGCCTGGTGTTCTTTCTCTTTCTATCCTTAAATCTTCATTCAAAATATTTATGGCATTGTAATCCTCTTGCACTACCTGGGCTGCTTCATTCTGCTCTGAATCTTGAATATCTCTGTCATTTTCGTGTAGGTCATCCTTATTCTGATTCTGCTCGTTGTTATCAGTATTTTCTTTATCTTCAATAGCAAATTTATAATCTTGAGCAACTTTTCGAAAGCCTTTTGTGGAAACCTCCATTGTTCCAGCCTTGTTGTATGCTTTACAAAAAATAGAAGCCACTGCGTCACTACACTTAATTTATTCTCTCTGAGCCAGTTTTCTATTTCCAGTGTGTAATATGCTTTTAAAGGAGACATGAACACAACGTCCAAAGGTTGCATCTTATTAGTGCAATGCGGAGGGAGGCAAACTATAATCACATGATTTTCCTTGGCCAAGTCTATAAGCGGAATATTTTACGCCGGATTTTACACATTGATTTACACCTCAATCCATACAAAATCCAACTAACACAAGAATTGAAGCCGGCAGACCATCAACAGCGGCTTGTTTTTGTTAATTCAATGCTGGAAAGAGATGACGGAATTTCGCCCAAAGTGCTCTTTTCTGATGAGGCTCATTTTCACCTCAATGGGTACGTAAATGAGCAAAATTGCAGATTCTGGGGGGCTGGAAATCCACACCGATATGATGAAAGACCTCTCCATTCTGAAGAAGTGGCTGTTTGGTGCGGATTATGGGCTGGTGGCATCGTGGAACCATTCTTCTTTGAAGATGCCAAAGAAAAGGCCATAACCGTCAACGGGGAACGTTGTCGCGGCATGCTAACAGACTTTTTGTGGCAACAATTGGATCGTATTGCTGCCGACGATCTTTGGTTTCATCAAGACGGAGCAACGGCTCGCACATCTCGCCAAACAATCGCCTTATTGCACACGAAATTTTAAGACCGCATAATTTCACGAAATTCAGATGTCAGTTAGTCCTCGAGAGCGTGCGATTTAACACCTTTTGACTACTTTCTTTGCGGATTTTTGAAAGGAACAGTGTATGCGAATGGTCCCCGGACAATTCAAGACCTAAACCGCAATATTAGGACTGAAATTGGGGTAAAGACCCGATTATTCTGGGAAAAGTCATTGAAAATTTTGATGTTCGAATGTTGGCCTGTAAACGAAGCCGCGGTGGTCACATGACTGATGTTAGTTTTCATACATAAATGGCATAAACCAAAGCGTGTTGATTTTTCAAATAGAACAAAAAAGTAATAGATAACGCACTCTGCACTTTACTGTGTTTGTGTTGGACGATCGTAATGCACGTTTCATCTACATTCACGATTCTATAAAATTTAATTCAATTTAATTTTAATTTTTTTTATATTCGGGCTGATACAGATCGAAAAAAATGAAACTTTCACGTGTAAAAGACTTGACTCTGACAGCTGATACTCCCTGCGGTGTTCTCATGATAAGTTGTGGGTGTCGCTTTAAAAACAATTTTAACCATTTTTTTTTCCCGCAGCTTTTCTTCTCACACTGAATGGGTGTGGCATATTATTTCTAATTGCCAGTTGGAAAGCCGTTCTCTTAATGTCACGTATTCTTGATCGATAAAAGCGTTCCTCCATTTCTAGAGTATACTGAAATAGTTCCTCTTCTAGGTTTGCAGTAACACAGTTTCACGTCCAATAGCTAAGCGCACAAGTTCTTCTGGATATGTGTCAGATTTTACGTACCTCTCAACAGTGCCTTTAGGTACATCAAAACATTTTGCGGCTTTTAAGTACTCCATTATTATCTTACTCCTCACTGCGTTCACAGCTTTGACCATGTTTACTGCGTTCCAGTCTTTACGTTTCTTGGGCATCTGTATATTGATTCTTTTTTATCCTAACAAATTAGAGAGTCTCAAATTACAAATATAAATTGATTGTGCCTTACCTTAATGGAAATCTGGCCTTCAAATCCAATATTTTTTATGAACGAAAACGCAAAATGGTATGCACTTACTGAACTATTTATGAGCGACTGATTCTGCGACTGATGCAATCACACTGTGTTAACAAATTCACCATGCTACAATGATTCCGCGTGCGTTGGATAGAGGGCGTCCTGTCTTACGGAATATCTATCGCTATCCCAAATTAGAAGCGTATCTCAAATTTGGCGACTTTCCTCTAATAATAATAATAATAATAATAATTAAAAATCGTTTTTATTTAGACCTGGGGCAAAGTTTAGCATAATGCTATTCTGCCAGTTGACGCAAAAAAACTGAAAACAGAGTACAAAAACATAAAAACATTTCATAGGTTACAATTTAAAAATGTAGGTGTATAAAAATATAACATATAATAAGTGACAGATACTCAATATTTTAGGTGTTAAGACTATAGACAAAAGAATATTATATTGATTGTGAGGTGACAGATAAATTTTAACAACTAATTTATATATTTCTATTCAAAATAAGATTTTTCATATATCTTTTAAATTCTCGATATGACAGTAATTTGTAGCTCGAGGTATACCATTGTAGAAAATAACTGCGTTGTAGGTGAAGCATTTACGAAAGAATGGTGTAGTGTGAAGGAGCATTGTGAGTCTTTCCGTGAATCGAATGTAACTAGAATGAATAGTCTTTCTATATATCAGCTTATTTTTCAAAAATGGCGGAATAAGTGTGAGCAAATATCTGTGTATCTGTGGGTCAGCGGCTGTAAGTAACTAAATGTAGCCCACACAATTTTTTTCAAACACTTCATGTCTTCGAAAAAAAGCTGATATAATCATATTTTCTCAAATTACTCATCAACCTACAACATGCATTTTTGATTTTCTGAAAACGTGTGAGTCGGGAGATGGAAGACAACAATAACTAATTTTGAACATTACCAAAGATTCAAACAAATTTTTTTTAGGTGTATAGTCAAGAAATTTTTTAAGATATAATTGGCGTAAACTGGAATAACAACTCTTATTAATATTATTTACATGTAGTATAAAATTTAGGCATTCATCTAAAGTTACGTCCAAGGTCTTCGCTGAGTCACTGCTAGAGCATCACCATATAAGTTTACCTTAAATTTCTTTTGGCATCGCTTCTAAACAGTTTTAGTGAAGAAATAATGACTTTCGATCTTAAAGGGTTCAACTGAAGGGTTTGATTCTTTGCATATACCTACACTAACAGATTTACTATCTTCATGTATCTCAGATTCAGCACTTTGAATGTTGTGATTATGGAAATGACTGCAGATCTGTGAATCGTTGGCAAAGAATTGAATATCACAATATTAAACAGCTGCATGCAGATCAGAAATATACAAAATGAATACGAGTGACCCAAGTACAGTCTCTTGGGGCACTCTGGAGGAAATGAGGCACTTTGGAGGCAATACCACGTCAATATGTATTCATTGATATCGATTTCCTAACAAGCTCCGAATCGTATTTGAGGAAATATTTACAGTTGATTACCAGAAGGCGGTAATTTATAGTATCGAATGCCTTAGAGAAGTCAAGAAAAACTAATGACCATCTGTTGGTCCCAGAGTCTAACAATATCGGTTAAATCTAGTAGGGCACCTAGCACTTAGTTTTACATCCTTTCCGATAACAGCATTGCTTGTGTAGGCAAAAAATTTTATATTGCTTTTTCTAATAATTTGGACAAAACAGATAAAATACTAACTGGTCTTCAATTAGTATATAATGTTGGTTCATTTTAGCTGGAGGTAAAACTAATGCTTCTTTCAGTGATTCTGGAAATAATCCTCTTTCTAGGCAGGTGTTTATGATGTGTAAAATGTGACCTGAAATAACAAAAAAGCATAGTTTTAGCATTCTAAGTGACACACCATCACTTCCCAAGGCATTCGATTTTAGAGACTTAGTCAGTCATGATGATAGAATAGAATAGTGAATGGAACAGAAATAATTATTAGTTTCAGTAGGGTTATTTAAATGTAGAAGGATATCGGTATTTTGTGACTGTTGGATACAATTGATTTTAAGGCTCTATAAAACATTTTCGAACCATAAATAGATTATAGGTTATCGATATTTGTGATTGCCAGAACTTTCTAATAATTAAGCTACGACTAATTATTTTGGTCTTGAGATCAAATGAAAGAATATGTTTGTAGCCAAACCAAGTGATTTATGAATAATCTGTTGCTGGCTGTTTTAAAATACGTATATAATTCTCCCGAATCACTGTACTGGGTTTCCGGCCAGAAGTTGACCCCCTTGATTTTTTAATGTGACCTTCCAGAAGAAAAACTTGTATATAAAATGGCCTAATTTGAGGTTTTTAATGTGATATTTTTTTATATACAGGGCCTCGGAACACTGCTATCAAATAAAGTTGTATTTTTGTAAATGGAACATCCCATATATTTTCAGCGTAAATAAAGCCCCTTTTTTTCTAAATCAAAGTCCATTGGTGCGTTGCCATAAAACTCCTCCCGCACCCCGACCAGCCGCCCCTAAAGGATCTTTTTGACAAGTTAAAATGTGTGTGACCTGTGATAACACTTTACAAAGAACCAACATCTATGGGATGCTAGCCCAACTGAAAGATTTTTTTAATTTTTATTAAGTTTTAGGTTATAGTTTCTAACGTTACCTAGTTGAAAATGCACAGAATCGCATTAAAATCATTTACGCAAGGTATATGGCTGATATGTTTTTTCGATTACTCTCCAATAGATGACGCTGAATAAAGGTAGCCACCACAAAGCCCATCGTTTTGAATGATTACCTTGAGCTGCTGAAATCGGATCAGTAAGCTCCAATGCATGCAAGGAGGGGGCCGCTTTGTTTTTCAACAAAGCAGAATCAATACGTCATATTAGATATAATGAACTAAACGAAACAAAATAATCTTTTTAAAGAAAAATGGGGGGATTTTTAACCGCCGCATGGAAATTTAGTTTCTTATATTTAAAGGTGCGTTGCCAAACAAAATAATCCTTTTAACAAAAAATGGGGGGATGTTTAACCCCCTCACGGAAATTTAAGTTTCTTGATCTTTGAAGGTGCATTGCCATAACCACATTCACTCATGTGTGTCCGAGTTCGAACCAGTTTCCATCCAGTCACCCTTTGCAATCTGGTATAAGACCGGAATAGATATGATGAAACGACACATCTAACTAGCAAAGTAGTGCTATAAGCTTTTGGTAAAAGAACCGTTCAGCCATAAAAGCTCTCTATTGTTGTTGCCTGAAC